AGAAAAAAAGCTCAATCAAGCAGCTCACTTTCTCCGCCGGTCTTGCCGAGAGTTAGTTAGCTGGCTAGCTGGCTAAACTGCAAAAGATTGAAAAGACAACTTTCTCCCAAGATTGCCAAAACTTTGGCTGCTACTTCGGCTGCGTTCACTCGGGCAATCAAAGATGAATAAACGAACACATAGCACATAGCACTTCAGCAAACTCGGAAGAAATAAAAATGGTCATTGAGTAGAGAGAAATGGAAATGGAGAAATGGAGAAATGGAAATGAAGAAGATAATGCTAAAAGTATTACTAAAAACTACAAGAACAACAACAAAAGCCACCGAGCTTTTGGAGGAGGCACACGCGGGCGCAGTGTGGGTGATATATGCGTGGTGGTGGTGATGGTGGTGATGGTGAACAGTAACAGCTCGAATTGGAAAGCTAAAGCTCAGAGTTCAACTCAACAAAACGATTAGCCCAGGCAGCAGCAATTTTACTCACAAAAAGCAAAAAAGACAGACAGAGATTGGGGCGCAATTTGCAAGCAAACGAGCACAGCACACACACTCAACGATTAGCAAGTGAAAAAACACTAAAAGCCAACAGTTCCATTTGGAACTACTCGCAGTCGTAGACGACGGAAGCAGGAGAAGAAGAAGAAGCCAAAACTTACTCCGAGATAAAATGAGCGGAAAAGGTAAATATGCTGAGAAAAAATTAGCCAAAGCAGCAGTTGTTGAAAATACGGCGAAAGTTCACAGCACAACTGCTCAAGCTGAGAAAGCTGAGAGCTTGGCTACAAAGACGCTCTCAGAAGACAGTGTGAATGACTGAATGACTGAATGAATGAGAAGTAGAAGAGAGGATCTTCTCGTCCGCTGATGCGGACAGTAGAGCTCTCACATCCTAACAACCAGTTATCCCCACCGAAAGCAGTCGACCCTTGAGAAGAAGACGGGAAAACGGGAGAGAGACTAAAGAGACTAAAGAGACTTCAGCTTAAACGGGCAAACACACACACACACACACTCTTCTCAGTGTCGCGCATATAAAAATAGACACAAGACAAGTAGAAGACTAGAAGTCAAAGCCTAAAGATGGAGAGAGAGAGAGAGAGAGAAAGATGGCTGATCGATAGATGATGTATTGAGGTGAGATGCGGCTGTCTCAGTCTCTGTCTGTGCAGGTATTCTTAGCAGACACGGTGTCTGATCACCTTTCTCCTCTCGCTCTCTCGTAAGAGCAGAAGCAACCAAAGCTATGATTGTGATGTTCATCATCATCCTCTTCTGAGGACAACCTTTGGCAAGGGAAAAGTGTTGCCCAGCAGTGTTCGGTGCTGAACAAAAAGATGATCGATTGCAAAGAGAAGTACTCGCTCTAGTGCTCGACCGACAGACACAGTGGCATAGTCAAAGTCTACTGACCCCGAAGAAGAAAAAATGCTGAGAAAAGAAGAGAGAGAGAGAGGTCAGTCGGCTTTTGTAGAAGGCCATCGGCACTTGCACAAAAACACAGCACATCCAGTGAAGAAGAAGAAGAAGAGGTCTCCCCACTAAATGCAGGTCAATAAACGATGTGAGAGCGGAGAGGAGAGAGAGGNGAAAAGAAGAGAGAGAGAGAGGTCAGTCGGCTTTTGTAGAAGGCCATCGGCACTTGCACAAAAACACAGCACATCCAGTGAAGAAGAAGAAGAAGAGGTCTCCCCACTAAATGCAGGTCAATAAACGATGTGAGAGCGGAGAGGAGAGAGAGGAGAGATGATAATCACCACGATTATCACCGTTTAGCCATCCGTTCTCTCTCCAAATAGTTAGAAGCAGCAGCCAATCAACTTCAACTTCGGCCAAACAACAACAAGAACATCAGTCGAGGTAACTGTACGACACCAGCAGCAGGACAGGACAGCACTGTACAAGACAAGTAGTGAACAGTCCTCACCACCACCATCAACTGGCGGTCATTCATCAATCAGTGGCCATCATACCACAGCAGCAGTGTCCATTATCAGCTCGGAAAGATCTCTCTGGCCGGCTCGGCTGCGGGCGTCGAACTGTGAACTGTGAACTGAAGAAGCCCAGTAGCAATAAAGAAGTGGTGGTGGTGATCAGTATCACTGCTGGACATTGCTCCCCATTAATATAAAGCCCTGGACACGTCTGAGCTGCAAATGGAAGTGGAAGTGGAAGAAAGAGACAGTGTGTCTTTCTCTGTCTGACTTGTTGTACTTGTAGGAGAAGAAAAGAAAGAAAGAGATAATTGAATTGCACTGAAAAAGAAAAAAAGAGAAATTGATCGAGAAAGTGAATGAGAACTGCAGGCGTTTGCCAAAAGAAGAAAAAAATTGGCAAGAAACAAAAGTAAAATACTATGCTCAAACGGCTACTGAAACTTTGTAACAAAAATCACAAAAATAGAGAAACTTAAATTAAAAAAATTTGCAGAAACGCAAAGCAAATTCAAACTCTCTTCTTTATTCAGGAGAAAAAAGTAGCAACAGGTGTGCTCGTCGTCGTTGCTAATTTTCAGTCACGGTCGACGCGCGGCGCAAAGAAACGAAAAGCGAAAACCGTATTACAAAGTGTAACACACACATACACACACAAATTAAGTCCTACAAGGCCTGAGCAGCAGCAAATTTCTCTTCAGCAATTCATAATTCAGACCATTAATAAGCAGAGAGAAGCCGAGGAGCTAAAAATATCACACACATGGAAATGAAGACCAACTCCAAAGAAGAGCTCTAACGAAGGAAGAGCTGGGAAATGAGATCAGCCAACAATTTATTTAATTTAAAATTAGTCAGGGGCGCACGATTACAATAATGAAATGAGAGAAAGAGAGAGATGACGAAAAGTTAAAAATTCACAAGTTCGAAACAGCAGAAATATTTTTGTTCCAACTTTTCAACACTTGCAAAACCAGACTACAAATCTAAAAATCACCTCAAAAGTTCTCAATTTCAAACAACACACAAAACAGAAAAAATGGGAGGCTGCCACTTTACCCGAATGGGCGACGATCCGCTGCTGCTGCTCGAAGAGGACGGCCCGCCCCTCAAGTCACTGCAGACGGATGCCAGGCCAAAGGCAGCAAATAATAATAAAGGCAACAAAAAGGGCAAGGGAGGAGGAAGGTCCAAAGGAGTTACAGCCACCACAACAGTATCACCATCATCAAAACCACCCAATTTGGCCGACGAGGGCTCCAAGTTCTTTGGTGTACCACCAGAAACTGATGACGATGATGGTGGTGATCTCGACCTTGAGGAAACCCTTTCCTCCTCCTTCAAATCAAAGAGGGAAAAAGAGGCGGAAGAGCAGCAGCAACCTCAATCAACTCCAAAAAATAAAAAAGGCAAAAAAGGAGGTAAAAAGCGGAAACGGAAGCCTCGGCGGGTAAAGCAGTGCGACGTGAAGGAGGCAAGTGAACGTCGGCGGAAGCACGAAGAGGTCCTCGCCAAGGTCTGCACGATGATCAACAGACCGGAAACGACTGAGGAAGAGAAGAAGGTGGAAATAGAGGAAAAAGAAAACACACCCAAAGCAAAGGAAGAGAAAGATGATGAGGAGAAAGGTAAGGAAACTCCCACCACCACCACCTCACCAACTACAGAATAAAATAGTTTACAAAAAACTCGCTTCACTTTTTCATTATTTCATAGAAAAAGAGCAAGGTGCGCCTATTTAAAAAATGGAAAGCTTTTAGAAATCAAAAAGCAAAGTTTTTCATTGAAAAGTTTCTCCTCATCTTCGCAGGAAAAACGAACGCAAATCTTTGGTGTAAATCAGAGGAGCAGCAGCAGCAGCGCACCTCAACATTCAAAAATGCCAAAGCGAGCGCATAATCAACTTTGCAGCACTTGCACACACAATTTAAAAAGAAGGCACACACTTTTACAAAGCAATTTCGACGATCACAACAAAAAGAAAGGAAAAAGCACTTTCTTCTTCGGCGGCTATAAAAGCATCAACACAGCAGCCAGCAACAGCGGCGGCGGCAGCACATCACACGTCAAAGTAATAACGCTCGTAAAAAGGAAGAAGTTGTAGCACAGTTTTTACATTACAACTGAAAAAACACTGTAGCAGCAGCAAGAGAAAGAGCAGCAGGATCTTCTCCATAAATTAGTCCAACAGCACAACAGCTCCAGAGAACAATTACAGCGCAGGGCGCTAAATAAAGGCGCAAAGAGGGAGAGAGAAAAAGGCAGAAAATTCTAATCAGTCACAGGCCATTCAGAAGATCCAGCACTGGACAACCAGCCAGCCAGGCATTGCTGCACCAGAAAGTGCAACAGCTGACAATCAACACACAGACACTGAAATTTGGAAAAACAAAGCAAACAGAAAGAAGAGGGATACATTGAAAAGGCAAAAGAAAGAAACCAGCAAAACCCGAATCCCGAGATCACGCTTGGATGCGGCAAAACAAAACAACAGAAAGAAGAAGAAAGGATACCGCAACATAGCACAGCAAACACACTAGGATCCACACTCTACTGAAAGTCTGCCTCCCTGAAGGTCTGCGTTGTATAATTAGCATCATAATCGACGTCATGATAAATGAGCGCGCCTGACAATTACCGCACCATCATCAAAGCAAAGGCAAAGCAAACTCTAACTATGGACAGACACAAAGAGTCCTCCTAGCCAGTCCCAAGAGTGAGCGCACCTGATTAGGGGATGAATCCTGGTGGTGGTAATTGCCGCGTGCTCCACCAACTTCTTCTTCACCAACTCTGTCGACAGAGTTTCTCAGCTTAAGGGAGATATACAAGAACTGAACTACAGCTCAGAGGAAAACAATAGCCGATGCGAGAGACAATGGGAGGACGACAATGCAAAGAGGGAGAGAGGGAGACACCTGTTGAATTGGCGGCAGCAGACATCAATTCACGATTTCGTTGTTCCCTGAACGCAAAGTTGCCCTTTTACAGAGAGCCGGTGTGTGTGTGTCTGTGTGCAAAGTCGATGTAATTGGGATGGTGGTGGCGGTGGCTAGCTCAAAACTTGAAACAAAAAAGCAGCTAAACTAAATAAAAAGAAGCAAAAAGTAGTACTAAAATCAATGAGATACACTGTCAACAAGTACTGCATTCAAATGACCATTTCGATTCCCTCGTCAGTCAGTCAGTTTCAATCTGCAAACGACAGTGACAGCGGCAGCAGCCACTTCTTCTTCTTCTTCCTCTGACTCACAAATCGAGCAAAGAAGCACAGTGCCCACACACAAGCACAACATTAGATGAAAAGAAGAAGAGGAGGCAAAAAGTCATCGTCTGAGAACGTCAAGTTCAGCAGCAGCGGCAGAGGAGCAGACATCTCTGGCCGGAGTTCATTAAACCCTATCCTCTCTCCTCTCTTCGCATAACATTCAAGTTCGTAGACGACTGTTTTGTCTCCTCTTCCCTTCCCCTTCTGATAGTCTCGCACGGCCTGCTTGGGAAGAAGAAGAAGAAGAAGGAGCAGCAGCCCCGTTTCTTTTTCTTTTTTCCTTCCCCATCCCATCCCTCTGTCTACTACTCTACTGGACTAATCAAATTCACATGCATGTAATTGATAACATTCTCTCCCTCTCTGGCCTGTCAAGAAACTGAGCATCAGGCGAGTTGAGCGCTCTTTCTTTCTCTTTCTCCCTAGCTATCGATTAGCTCTCTTTCTCTCTGCCAATCTTGAGACAATGCCACACACGTCTCATTCGATTAAGTGGTGGTGGTGGTGGTGGTGGTGGTCAACTCATCCACTTCCACGCTCATTTGGAAGTGAAATCACTCACTCACTCACTCATCCACTCACTCACACATAAACGAGTTGAGTAAGGCAGAAACTAGAAACAAAAAGTCGAGTTGAGAGAGAAGGACAAAACGGCAAAGATGAAAGGAGTGAAAGAATCACCGAGCTTTCAGCTCGCACTAATACAAAGTTCATCTTCCTAACTAGACACAACACACACACAAATCAAGTGAGAGCTATCGATGCCTGCCTGCCGCACTGCTTACCCGGCGCCAAATTAGCAGGTATCAAAACAGCAGAACCGAGCAGAGCTGCCCCCACAGAGGATGAATCGAATGGAGCGAATAAAAGCTCTCTCGGAATCACCTCGCCTCGTAATAATCATCACAGGGAAAGAGACGGCTCAATCACCGGTGGTTAGGAAAGGGAGAGAGAGAAGATACAAAGTTCAAGCAGAGTGCAACTTTGACTTGAGCAGTACAACAAAGAACAAAGGGCACTGCTGTCTGTGTGTAATCATCGATACACAACTGATTGATCGACTGGGAATCGGTGGGAGAGAGAAACAGTGAAGATCAGCGGTGTGATGATCAGCGGCGGCGGCGGTGGCGGTGGTGAAAAAAGGCAATCGGGCGCGATTTTCTCCCGCAGCCGTCGCCGCCGCTGAAATCGATGAAATGGGGCTCGTTCGTTGTCCGTTGTTGATCGCCTCGAATCACCGGCGCCGTAATCACCTGCGACCGAAAAAAAAATCGAAGTTTGAAATGTTCTGTCTGCACTGCAAATCGGCGCAACAACAAAATGTATAAAAGTTGGCGGAAAAACGAGCGGCGGCGGCAAGCCCTGTGCTTCCTCAGCCAGTGCCGCCGCTGCAGCCATTCAATCATCATTTACATAAGCTGTCAATCACAAAAAAGAGCTTGAGAAGAAGAAGTGGTAGTAGTTGGAAAATCGCTGAATCGAAGCAGAAGTTGGCCGGGAGGAAGAAGAAGGAGAAGTGGAAATTCGGCGCTGACAGCAAACCGAGGAGAAGTCCAGCTCGCTCTATTCTCTGACCACAACTGAAACAAACTCAACAACACAAAGGTGGAACTTCGGGTGGAACACCACCACAACAGTGTCTCAGCCTCAGTCAAATATCCTCGAGTGCAAGCCAACCAACCAACGAACCAACAAACAAACAGTCTGCCAGGCCTCACTGACTGACTGACAGGCCGACAGATTGGCACCGATACTGCTGAGCTGAGCTGACGATTCGCATTGATATGACACACAAACACATCACACACTCAAATCAGAGAGATCACAAACACAGCACTGCTCAAACAAACTCGTTATCTCATCTCATTTACACTTCAGAGAGTTTGGCAGAGTACGGTAGTACAAAAAGAAGCAAAAGCAAAATGAAAATAAAACAGCAAAACGAGCACCGGGTGACCTCCATCAGGCATGCAGGCACCTCTCCGCTAAAATAAAATAAAATAAAAGCTGGTCACATTTTGTGCTGTAACGAATCATTTGTCGTTGCTGCTGTAAATACGCTCACACTGCTAAATTGCCCGTGGTAGAGCCTGGCAACGAATGTGCAGATACAAAACAAAAGGAGAAAGGATAATGATGATGATTTCCTCATATCTGCTGATGTTGCTGGTTCTCAAGTCAACACACAGTTTGCACTCGTGACAGCAACCGTCGCAACAACAACAACGGAGTGCAACAGCAGCAACAGCAGGGGCAAAATTAGAGCAAACAAAACAATAAAAAACAAAAAAGAAGACAAAATCATCTCAGCTGTTGAAAGTCAAAATCAAAATCGGGGAAAGTCGAGAACCAACAAAAAGATGGCTAAAAGTCCCTAGATAATACTTAACAAGATTGGGCCTCTTCAAGGCTGCTGCTGCTTTATCATCACCAGACAAACGCTGACAGGCCATTAATTTCCCTAATTTAATTAGCTGCAAAAACACAGATACACCAGAAAAAAGCACTTCAGCAGTGTTCAGCAGTGTTCTGACGACGGGTAACTAACGGCGATGATGGTCATAGAAATTAGCTGCCGCAAACAGGAAAAGAGTTGACGCAAATGATGATGATGATGATGATGATGCTTACGATGCTAGTGATGCTGAAGCTGAAGCTGATGATGATGATCAAAGCTGCGTCAGCGTCACACCGACCTCGCGAAAAGGACGAGAGTCTAAAAGTCTGACTTTATTTTAGCAGCTGCATCAGCAAATCACACACACACACACAGGAAATTAATCAGCAGACAGCGACAAAACGAGGAGATGGCTTTGACTTCGAAACAGAAAGAAGAAGAAAACAGGAACCCAACCCAGAAAGTTGAGACTTTAGCAAGCAGGCAGGTAGAAAGGTTGCTGTGCCTCTGTTGTCGTTACAGCACGTTACAACAAATTGGGCTTGGAGCGGGAGAGGGAGGAAGGAAAGTATGCCGAAGGACACCTTCTTTCTACTACTACAACAAACAAATTGCAGTGAAAAATTAGGCATAGCAAATAGAGAGAGAGAGACACCGCCTGACATCAAACTTGAAGGAGGAAAGGAAGGAAAGGAGAAGTTTGTTTGCCGTTCTCGCAAGGCCATGACTGTTTCTATTTCTTGCTTGCTCTCTAATGACAACTAATTGAGACCAATTTTTGATTGATCGATCTGACTGACTGTCTGACTGAGATGGAGAAGGAGGCAATGTTGCAAACTGTACGACACAAACACAAACACACACTCACTCACTCAAACAAGCAACAATAAAAAGCAAATAATATAAAAGGGAGAACATAAAGTGCACTTACCGAACAGGAGAAGGATTCTGCTGTTGAGAAGTAGTTGCTGCTGTTGTTTCGAAAAGGGTTGCCGCCGTTGAAGAG